ATGTGAATGCGATAATATAATACATATTATAGTGAGTATGATAGAATGGAAACAAAAAGGAAATATAAATCTGCATAGAATAGATTAGAGCTAGAAATGAAGTAATGAGAAGTTGGATAAAGCTAAGGTAAGGCTAACTCATGGGTGTGCAAAGGCCACAATAAGATTAGAGTTAAATTAGTGTAAAGATAGGAGTAAGGCTAAGGCAGGGCAAAAATAAAGCATAGTAAAGATAAAATAAAGAAAAAGTATAGCTAGAGTAAAACTATGAGATGATTAAGTTTAAGCTAGCATAGTAATAAGGGTTAGGTTAGAGCGAAGACTAGAGGTAGTGCAATGTGTAGGGTTAAGGGTAAAGCTATTGGTACAGATATGAATAAAAGAAGGGCCAAGGGTAAAGAAAAGAATAAGGCTAGAGATAAAGCAAAGGTAACGCTAACAGTTGAAAAGATAGCCTGAAGTAGAACTACAACATGCCTAAGGTTAACCTAGAGTAAAGCTATGAGGAAGACAAGAAAAGCCTTAAGTAAGGTTAAGGTAGAAGCAAGCATAGCTAGTGTTGGAACCAAGAATAAATAAGGTGTAGTTAGGGTAGAGCTAGAAGTAGAACTACGGATAAAAAAGGTCTGAAACTACAGAAAATAGTAGAGCTTGAGATAGGGCTAGGAGTGAGGCTAGTGGCAGGGCTTATGACTCAAGCAGAGCTCAAATAGAGTTAAGAGTAGGGCTAGGGTTTGACTCTAGTATGACTAAGATTAGAGTTTTGGTAGAACTAAGAGAGAAGGTATGACTAGCAAAGTTAAAGTAAAACTAAAAATAATAAAAAAGGTAACATTAGAGTAGAAGAATAGATATAAACTTAACTTTACCTTAAAAACCCCTTTTAAACATAACTAAATGAAGAAATTCAACTGCATAAACAAACATCATTATCAACAACTCTAAGAATCTTTAAATTTCTTAATACTTTTACCTACATCACCTCATAAGATTACTTTCGCAGTCAATGATCAAGTAGATGAACCCACGATAACCCCACCAAAACGACACAACTACTAACAATGAGCGCGTTTTACGGAAAATTGAGGGTAGAGAAGCATAAAAATGGCAACAAAACTGGAGGAAAACAAGTTTATTTACAATAATAAACGACTTGATGCTATATTAGACTGGATGCTATAGTGAAAGCGTGCTTTTTACTTTATAGTACTATATAAAGATATTATAGTAGAAAGACATATCGATTACTTCTTAATGTAGCATATTTCATGGGCTATTATTAGCTTGTGCAAGTAATTCTGTGCTCCTCTTAAAACAACTTTTTAAATTTTTTTCTTTACTACTTGAACGTTAAGGGTAAACCTGGCTTCCGGGCTGGGCTCAAAAATCGGCCCAGGGAGCCAGGTCTAAAAAATATAGTTAAGGACACATAATTATATGAACAACCAAATATTGTACATAGTTCACATCAGGGACGTCGGTAAGAGAAGGAAAAGCATAAAAAGAGTAGATAAAGGTAAATCCATCCCCTCTAGAAAGCCAATCTAAAAAATCCACCCCACCACTCCTTGCGCTTGGTCAAAAAATGAGTCTTACACCATACTTAAAGTTGTATGTTCTTACAGCCTTTGTTAATTGTACTAAATTATTTATATAAAAAACAACCCCCCACTTGAACGTTATTTACATGTACTATAATATAAGATCGTAAAAATTGAGACTGAATTATTATATTTACTTGTATTACACAGACTATAGCACTATAATAGATGAATAAAAATTTTCTACAAGATTATTTATTCAATTATAGACTAGTGGGTTGAGCGTCTATTAACCAATAATACAATTTTTTAAGTTTTTAACACTGATGTACGTCTATCTTAGCCCTACTGTAGCCCTATACTAGCTTTAACCTAACCTCTGCTTTAGTCTTAACCTAACCTCTGCTTTTTTTCGCACTGTCTTATCGTACTCTAGTCCCTACGCCAACTCCATCCTCAGCCTAATTTCAATATTTCCTTACCCTAGCCCTAACCTTAACTTTTACCCTAGCTTGCTACATTAGCTCTACCAAAATAAATAAATTAAGCCTTATCTTAACCTCTTTGTCCTAACTTTAGCCCTTTGCCGGGAACAACTTTTGATCGGGCTGATCAATTCCTGATCTCGGTGAATCCACTCCAGATATCAATATTTGTATTTGTTCTCCACTGAGTCCACTCCTAGTGGCGCTCCACTTTCAATATCCCGTAGACAAGTTATAGATAACAATATTCTAGTTGATGTACAAGTTTAGTAAAAATACCCAAATAGTATTAATAATGGAATTTATTAGCAGTCAAAAATTTAACTCAATATCGAGAGTAGACCAGCTACTCTCAAGAATACACTTCTCACAAGTTCATACTACAATGATACCATAATAATTTGCCCTTCAGAATGAAGGTCCAACTTCAACATAAATCATCTCTTGCCTGAAGGGCAAGAGAGAACAAAGTTTGAAGAGAAAGAGAAACATTGATTAGAATAAGACTTGACACACAAATAAATTATGAGACAAGATTATCTCTGGCGAATAATATTGAGATTTGAATGATTCTTCCTCAACTCGCCAAGTGGTTGACGACACTCTTATTCTAGTCTTTACATTAGCTTGCACTTTAGCCATTAATTTAGCCATTACCCTTTTCCTTGTCTTGGTAGTTCAGCCAGCCTTTCTTAACACTAAGGAGAGAAATTGCCTTAATCTGCACCAGATCTAGAAAACCCGGTAGATCTTGGCCATACTTTAGCTTTTAGCTTAAACCATATTCTAGTCCTCTCATAATCCAGCTTTAGCCTTGGTCCTATAGTCTTGCCGTAACTCTTATGCAATTTTACTTGAACAACACATATTATTACCCCAACCTCCATTTACCAACACTTTAACTCTCAACATTATTCCTCCAAATACTAACAAGTACGTACTGAAGGACATCATATGACCTATAAGCAGCACATCCTTGTTATGTTTCTAAAACAAACAAAGCCGAATGTTTCGCGGCTTCGAGTTGATTATAAGAATGCAAATATGGGGCGAGAAAACTGTTTAAAATGCTAATTTCATTAACGAGTGTTTCGACATTCCGCGCACGTACGTGACTACTACGTGGGTTATATTTTGGGTTAATACGGTTTTGTCGCCCAAATTTGGCCACGTGTGCCGTGGCCAAGAGTTTTGCGGCGTTGGGAGGAAGTTCGAAATGACACACATATACACAAAAAGAAGATGGAAGTAATTGGAATAAGGTTCAAAGATGGGTAATATGATGAACAATCATTAATGGCAACGTCTAAGTAAAAGGCTAAGACTAAACCTAAGGCTAAGGCTAAAGATAAGGCTCAGCCTAAGCTTCAGTCTAAGCCTAAGTCTAAGTCTAAACCTAAGCCTAAGCCTAAGCCTAAGCCCAAGCATAAGCTTAAGCCCAAGCATAAGCCTAAGCCTAAGCCTAAGCCTAAGCTTAAGCCTAAGCACACGCCCAAGTCTAAAGCATACGCCTAAGCATAAGCCTAAGCCTAAGCTTAAGCCTAAGCATACGCCTAAGCTTAAGCCTAAGCCTAAGCATACGCCTAAGCCCAAATCCAAGCCTAAGTTTAAGATTGAGTACAAGCCTAAGCCTAAGCCTAACACTAAATCTTAGCCGCACTTCCAGTTTTAGTCTAAACCCAAGTCTAAGCCCAAGCTAATCATAGGCTTAATCTAAGGCCCCAACTTAAGCCCTAGCCTTATTAATGACCTCCTTAGCATAAGTCTAAACCTACCCTAAAGACCTAAAAATTAGAATTAAAAAATATAAAAAACATATTCATGTTGTAATGTAAAAACATTTTTGATATCTCCCATAAATTTGCTCTATTCAAAAAAACAAGGAACTTATCAAGTTATGCCGCACCAACAACAACCTACATCATCACATAAACGAATCGAAATCCACCCCGAAGGTCAAGCCGCCACTTCTTCTGGATTTGTTTTTCTCATTTGTAAATGGATTCCGACCGATAAAACAAAAGGCATGGTAAGGGGCCGGGCCCGGTTATTGAGCACTATATAAAATTAAATTTCATATGCGCATGAAGTAATGTAAAAGTTCCGAAAACAAATGTAACTTTATTCCTTGCTATGGGAAGGGAGAGGAATTTGTGGTTTGTTTACCGTACATAATGGACCAATGCTAATTTGGTGTGTCAAAAGATAGTTAAGAAAGAATCATGAAGAAGAAAGAAAGAGAAGGTAAAGAGCAGTGTACCCTACCCTACCCTACCCTACCCTACCCCACCCTACCCCACCCTACCCTACCCTACCCTACCCTACCCCACCCTACCCTACCCTACCCTACCCTACTATGTTACATACACAACCCAGAATCATATCCAGTAGACTGAGCATGACCCAAAAGACAAACCATGACCCGGTACGTTGCCAAACGATCATGAAGCCACGAGTTATTTCAACTTTATTGTCTTTCCAATGCCCTGGGGGCATATTAACAAAAAAAACACAAAGAAATAGCGGCTTGATCAGATAAGCGACCGCTCCTCGGCCGTACTGTGTTCGACCAAACGCATTTCATAACTTCTGGCAATAAATATCACAATAGGCTAAAAATACATTGACATTCCTTTTAAATGTCGTGTTATATCAACTTATACGTATTTGGTATAAGATAATATTGCAATTGCTTCAATTTTACTAAATATAAGAAGGGACTGGTTTACAAAAATGTTCTAAATAATGTAAAGATGACACTAAAAACACTAACATATCTTTCATAAGTAAGCTTTGAATTTTTTATTATATTATACTAGTCATTTTTCACGGCTTAATCCAAAGTTTTCATACGTACTTCAGAGTTCTATTGTTTTAGGTAATAAATAATTGATTGTTTATAACTTGACAAAAACAAAACATAGTGCAATCAGTTTGTGTCGTACTAACACTATTTTTACCTTACGATGTAGTACTAGAGTTTGATAGTACTACGGCCTTGCCCAGGCCTTGTCCTGGCCTTGCCCTGGCCTTGCCCTGGCCTTGCCCTGGCCTTGCCCTGGCCTTGCCCTGGCCTTGCCCTGGCCTTGCCCTGGCCTTGCCCTGGCCTTGCCCTGGCCTTGCCCTGGCCTTGCCCTGGCCTTGCCCTGGCCTTGCCCTGGCCTTGCCCTGGCCTTGCCCTGGCCTTGCCCTGGCCTTGCCCTGGCCTTGCCCTGGCCTTCATTATATGCTAACCTGTCCTTCCTTGTCTTCTTGCTATGTTTTACTCTACCCTGTTCTGCTCTACCTTATCTTGCCCTACACTACCCTACACTACCCTACTCTTCTCAACTTTAGACTTATGTGCTCATTATAATCCTGTCATGCCCTACCTTCTTATTACTCCACCTGTTTTACCCTTGTTTTCTCTTTTTCTACCCAGTTCTTTTTACCCTACCCATGAATTTTCAACTTTTTTTTATTTTTTTATTTTGTTTCTGCTTTTTTCTTTTCTTTTACACCGCCATTTCTTTTGTTAAAAAAATAATATTTTTACCTTACCATTTACTATGCCTTATCTTTTAACCTATTCTTTAACTTATAATAATATTATTTAGTACCATACCTCACACTGTCATCACAATCCCCCTTAATTTGAAAAAACTCTCGCCACCCCCCCCAGAATAAGAAGCTTAAAATTTCTAAAAATTACTCTTGAACCCCACCCAAATTTACATAATTCGCTTAACGGGCCACTTCGTTTGGCTCCAGGCACTAACACCCATTTTGAGCTCTCAAATCAAAAACTTTGGGTAATGTTTTCCCCCGCTTGACATGACATTTCTGCGCAAGAACCGCCATTCAACTGACATTTTCTTACAATTTTTGGGATTGTGGCCGCCGGAAACGAACGTTTTCATACATCAAGGCGGATTATAAAGGCACGTTTAAGTATAATACATGCGTAGAAACTTGTAAACATGAGAAGTATTCTACCCTACCCTACCCATCCTACCATACAATACCCTACCCTACCATACCAAAAACTCCCCGCCATGCTCTACCCTACTCTTTTTTATCTCACTTTATTACTTTACTTTAACTTGCCGCTAAGGTACCTTGACCTACCTTAGCTTACCTTCATTTGCCTTACCTCACCTTACTCTACCTTACTTTATTCTACATTAAGGTACTCTACCTACTCTACCGTTAGATGTATTTCTTGTCTAAACTGTTGCATGTCTAAAGCGTAAAAAAATGTCATATAGAAAGTAAAGTAACATTCTTACTACCTCATAATCAATAGTCATCATTATTACTAGCGTGCTAAACATACATAACAAAATGTCATATTACTATACCATGCTCTACCGCAATTTATTCTACCTTCCCCTATCTCTTTCTTTTAAAACAAGTTCTTTTGTTATCTTGAAAATGTATCTACCTTCTTCCCCATCCTTAAAAAAATTTTATTTTATAAATTAGCCTGTTTTTTCAAAAATAATTTTTAATATTCCCAAAATAAGTTTTTCACTAAATTTAAAAAAAGTTCAATTTTGCAACATCACAGTACAAAAACTAATAAAACCAAAAATTTAGCATGACATTATCGTAACATTCAAAGCCGGAATAGCCAAAAGAAAAAGGAAGTGCTGGACATGACTTTTGCACCAGTAAATTGGAAACATGTCAGTTCATAAAGAGCACCCTCCTCCCCACCAAAATAATCATCATTTAGCGTCATTGCAAAGAGGTTGCTGTTGATGACTTTCAAAGATTAATGTCCTAGCTCTAGCCGGAAGTCCTAGCCCAAAGCCCTAGCTCAGAGCCCTAGCTCGGAGCCCTAGCCTAGAGCCCTAGCTCGGAGCCCTAGCCTAGAGCCCTAGCTCAGAGCCCTAGCCTAGAGCCCTAGCTCAGAGCCCTAGCTCAGAGCCCTAGCCCAGAGCCCTAGCTCAGAGCCCTAATCCAGGACTCTAGCACTAAGCCTAGCCCTAGCTTTAGCTTAGAGTCACAGCCCCAAACCCAAGTCTAAACCCAAGCGCCAGCTCCTACCCCAGCCCAGCCCAAAGCCCTAACCCAGAGCCCTAGCCTCAATCTCAAACTAACGTAATCTTCAGCCTAACCCTGTTTTGCCCTGCCCAGTTCATCCAGCCTACCCCAGCCCAACCTCAGTCTCACTTCTAGCTCTTGCAGTAATCCTAGCCATACGAAAGCGTTACTTTACCTCTACTATAATATTATTTTATCCTAGCCATAGCCCAACCAACAATAAGCAAAACCTCAAAAATCGTCTGAAAAACCAAAATTTTGCAGAAGCCCTAAGAAAATGAAGTAAAACATGTAAACATATCTTTTGCAAGCAATTAATCTTTAACATTATTAATATAAAAACAGCATTTTAAGAATTGAAGATTAAATAATTTGATAATTAAATCTTTGCTAATTGTGAAAATTTTGAAAAAACATATGAGTATGAATAGCTCAAGATTAGGACACTAATTATAGTACAACTGCGTCAAAGAGTAATTGAAAAACTAATGTTTCATAAACTATTAAATGGAGTTGTCCTAAAAAAGCAAAAAACAATATTAAAAGACTGTTTATAATAAACAAAACATAAGCCTATTGATTAAAAAAATAATACTTAAATTATCTTATTAAACCTAAGCCTATAAGAAAAGTTTATATTTCGCCTAGGATAAAGCTAAACCCAATGCTAAACCTCACATTAGATCTAAAACCAAAGATAAAGCAAAGACTAAAGCTAAAACTATGACTAATTGAAAAAAAGGCTAAGGCTAAGGCTAAGACTAAGGCTAAGACTAAGGCTAAGGCTAAGGCTAAGGCTAAGGCTAAGGCTAAGGCTAAGGCTAAGGCTAAGGCTAAGGCTAAGACTAAGGCTAAGGCTAAGGCTCAAACTCAAGCTCAAGCTCAAGCTCAAACTCTACCCCATAGCCTAGCCTTACTTCAATTTAACTTTAGCTACTTCCTTTTGTTACTATTGGCCCAAAATACCTGAGATAATCTCAAAACACAATCCTAGCTTACCTAGTGACTATTTTAAAAATGTAAACATGACCCCATATCCTACTGTAACACACGTAAATGGTAATCCTGCGGTCAAGTTATTAGATTAATCAAAAGAAAACAAAATGATTATCCAAAGTTGTCTGGCCAAAAAAACCGAGAGATTTGGCCAAACTGAACTTACTTGGCCAAGCCCTACTTACTTGGCCAAACCCCACTTACTTGGCCAAGCCTTACTTACTTAATTTATTACCATGCTTTACATATTAAACATGTTCGACTTGGCATAAATTAGTCTTGGGAAAAAGTTTTGGCGTTTTACTGAATTTGGAATTGCAAAAAAATTTCAAATACTTTGTTTACAAAATTAAAATTTTTTTTTAAAATTTTTTTTAAATTTTGAAAAAAACAAAAAACCTCACGTAAAACAAGGTTGAAATTCGACCTGTCTCAAAAGTTCATTGTAAATTAAGTTTTTTCGAAAAGTAACAACTGTTTGGCTATTTTTGAGACAATAAAAGTCAAAGAGTGACTAGGTTACTACCGACAAACAAACGTTAGTACAAAGCTTTAGACCAAATCCACCACCCTAGCCCAGAGCCCTACCTCAGAATTCTAGCTCAGAGCTCTAGCCCTAATCTCAACTATAGCCCATGCCCTAGCTCAAGCCCTAGCACAGAGCCTGAGCCCTAGCCTAAAGCCCTAGCCTAGAGCTCTAGTCCAGAGCCTGAGCCCAGAGCCCCAGCCCAGGGCCCTAGCCCAAGCCCTAATCCTACTTTCTGTTTTAACTTTACTCTAACAAGTAAGAAGTTTGTTAGAAGTTTCTGTCCTAGCTCTAGCTATACTTTTAGCTTCTGCCCAAGCCCTAGCTCTAGCTTCTGTTGTAGCCTTACGATTGTATTGTCCGTTATTAGTAAACTATTTATTCCCTTTTTCAACGCAAGATATATATAGCCGTGAGAGGGGATGATGAGGGTGTGGTGAAGACTGTCAGAGCAATCCGTTGTAGCTGTTTCCAATTAGACCTCATCCAGGCGATCCTGTTCCTCGACCTACCGAGTCGTGATGAAGTGCTCCTCAAGGCTTCAGGCCGTAGTCGGAAGCCTGTGTAGGCCAAGCAACCAATTTGCCTTAGTCCCCGTGCACTTAGCACTACCCATTCATTTATAAATCACAAATGCGCCTGGGTCGGGCGGAGCGGTCGGTCGAACCGAAGTCCGGTGGATTATTGGTCGGCGCCACAACCGACTGAGTCACAACCGCTCTATTAGTAAGTAGTTCAGATAATTTTGTGCTCCCTGTCAAAGCAAATTTTCAGGGTTTTGAAGCACGGAATTATTTGAGTAACCTAATAAGAAACTTTCTATCAAAGGTAGCAGGGCAGTGTGATACTGTGGTTAGAAAGACAAGTTTGGACCAGCTTCAAAAGTGTCATACCAAAGAGAGTTAACTGTACATATGTGATTTTGACCTATTCTTTAAATTCACCTTTCTATGTTATGCTAAAGAACACCATAAAATCTTCAATTTAAAATGTAAAATACGATAAAATACATTCTTTTCTAAATAAAAATTTCAAAAAGCCCCAATGTCTAATCAGCTGATTAAAGTCAACCATCAAAAAGCGTTAGCAAGAATCCAAATACAAACCGAATGATGGAGTTCCCATTTGTTCAATCTCTTGTTGTTTTCTCAAAAAAAAAGTTTTGAGTTCTTTCTTCACCCAAAAATCATAAATTTGAAACAACTGTCGGTTCATTCATCTTCACGCCAATTAACACGTCTAATCTATGGCTTTGTGTTACATAGTGGCTTGAGATGAGGTTGAGTCTACTAAAATCAGGCTTACTAACAAAAAAAGTTGGTAAAAAAGAGAATTCTAACCAAGAATGGTAACAATTATTACATGTTGAAGTTTTAACTAAGCACCAGCATGAGCATGAGCATGAGCATGAGCATGAGCATGAGCATGAGCATGAGCATGAGCATGAGCATGAGCATGAGCATGAGCATGAGCATGAGCATGAGCATGAGCATGAGCATGAGCATGAGCATGAGCATGAGCATGAGCATGAGCATGAGCATGAGCATGAGCATGAGCATGAGCATGAGCATGAGCATGAGCATGAGCATAAGCATGAGCATGAGCATGAGCATGAGCATGAGCATGAGCATGAGCATGAGCATGAGCATAAGCATGAGCATGAGCATGAGCATGAGCTAAATCTAAATCTAAGCCTAAACTTAAGCCTAAGCTTCAGGCAAAGCCATAAGTGGAACTTTAGCTTCAAACTTAAAACCCAAGAACCTAAGCTAAAAAGTAGGATTAAGCCTAAGCCAACACCAGAACCTAAGACAAAACCTGATTTTAAGTCAACTTCTAGGCCTAAACTCAAGCCGACGCCAAAGCTCCTCTTTAAGCTTAAGTTAACCAAAATACTTTTATGCAAACAAAAAATTTAAAAAAATTTTTTAAAAATTTTTTGGTGATGCCAAAAATAGCGGAAAGTGATGCCTGGTAGTCCAGATGAGTCCATTCGCGAACATTGTCGGCTACTCAATAAACAAAAGGAAGTGCGCTCGTTCTGATTACATTATCCCTTGTAACACGACGTATCCAACTACGAAGCAAATGCAATTATTTTGGAACAATAAAATCAAAAAATGTTCAATGTTCTCGGAATTTATAGTTAATCGATTTATTTCCAGGATTTTATAAAAAAAGGTCAAATCAAAAAAACCACCATGAGTAAGTTTATTGTATAAAAGGTATTTTAATTTATCCTACCCTATCATACCCTACCCTACCCTACCCTACTTTACCCTACCCTATCCTGTCCTACCCTACCCTACCCTACCCTACCCTACCCTACCCTACCCTACCCTACCCTACCCTACCCTACCCTACCCTGCCCTACCCTACCCTACCCTACCCTACCCTACCCTACTTTACTCTACCCTACCCTACCGCACTCAATCCAGCTCTACGCTTTAGCTTCAGCATTAGTCTTGGCATCGGCCTTGGCCTCAAATTCAACTTAAACCTTAACCTCAACCTCAACCTCAACCTCAAGCTTAAACTCAACCTTAACCTCAATTTTAAACTCAACTTCAACCTCAATTTTAAACTTAACCTCAACTTCAGTTTCACATTTTTTTTTGTTTTTCTACTAATTTGAGAATGCTCAACAACTTGTATGTACCACTTTTTCACCAATCCATTTCACGGTGGGGACCTTTCTTTGTCAGTGTCAGTCTCAGCCTCAACCCTTCGGCCTTAGCGCCAGCCTTAACTTTAAAATTCGCTTTTTTAGGTACCGACATAAAGAACCAGCCATTTTTTACAAGAAATTACAAGAAAATTAAAGCGGATTCTTTATGTGAGCACCTATTTTAATCTTAAACTAAAACAGTATATATCTCTTAGTATTATTGTGAGCTAAATGTAAATCACGTCATGATAATTTCTTCACAAAGAATTTTAAAAAATAGCTAGTCTATAAAATACAAAAACAAAGAAGTTATCAACTTTTTAAATAAAAGTTTATTATCAATTAAGCAGCGACAGAAGTGTCTTCATACGAGTGCCAGGTTCTACTCACAGCTATATCTCCTTTGCTTCTAAACGATAGTATTCGCCTTCGGTATGGTTTCACAAAGTAGATTGTAGACATTGGTTTTATGACTGATATCCAAGAGAAAGCTGTGATAACAATAGTGCCAGTAAGGTAGAAGTCTACATTCATTACTATTGCTATATTGGCTACAGTGATTGGTAGAGAGCAGTTTGTTAAAGGTATCAAAGCCTGAAATTTAGTTTTTGTCTAATTACGGCAATATACTGTAAAGTCTGCCATAGTTCAAGCCCAAACATATACGAAGCCTAATCCAAACTTAGCTTGCCTAATTTTAGCCCATGCCCATATCTAGCCTAAACCTAAACTAGCTTAAGTCTAGCTCCAGTTTAGCCCAGGCCTAGCCCAAGCCTAGCCGGGGCCGAACCCAAGTCTAGCCGTAGTCGTAGCTTAAGCTTAGTTTAATCCTATTTCTAGCAATATTCCTATTCCTAGCTCTAGCCATATTTATATATTGTAACTTTTTAAGCCTCTATAGTTTAGTAAATTAATTACCTGTATCAACATGACCTTATTCATGTTGTTTTGAAGTTTTCTCGTTTTTGTTGTCATACTGTCGCTATGAGCTGATAAGTGTTTATATACAGCCCAAATGAAGTAAATTACTCCAGAGTAACTGCCAATGCAGAGTAGAGTACCACACAGTAAAAATACTCCAGAGCCTGGAGCTTCCTGAAATTTTTAAAATTTACGGTATTATTGCTCAAGTATACTGTAATTATTAGAAAATGGACCAAAGTTACTATAAATTTGCATAATTTGCATATTTTTATATATCAAATACAATATCTGAAAAAGCCATGGTAAAGACCTCATTACCTTGTACAAAGCAATCGACGTCATGGGCCTACCATCTTCGTACCAAAACGTGTTGTTTTCAAAAAGAATGTCAACACCTTTTGTACTGAACTTGGCCATCGTCTGTACACAACCGTACACACTCCACGACGCGTTCCAAGACGTGTAACACAAGGACAGAAACATGAACTTTGCTATATGTAACTTGGTCATCACGTAGTCTCTGAAGAAAAACAGTCGATAATAAGTTTACTGCAGTCCTAGCCCTAGCCCCAGGCATATTCACTTACTTGCAAATCATCAGATATCGAAAGTAGAACTCCAGTAACATAGAAAAAGCAACCAAACCTATAACCACAATCAAAATGAAAATCATGACATAATGCCAAAACAGGTCCATGTGTCGTACCATAGTCGTCACAATGATTTGAGAATATCCATTGGCCGATTCGAGCTGAATTTGGCCAATATTCAGAAATGATGTGTAAGTTAGTTCTACTATACATTCAGTTATGATCATACGACGGTAACCATTCAGACCCTTGTCTTTTGAAGTCTTGGCCAAATAAATTAGGATTGAATTTAAAATTATAGAGAATAGACAGCAAAAAGTTTCATTCGCCGTGTGAAAGGTTTGTAAGAAGCTCATGGTATAATGATATATTTAGATGCAGATATACCTAAAACCATATAAGTCATAAAAATGTTTTTCATCGTCAAAGGTTTACAAATTTTTGTTTTTAACATACTTAAACCAAGTCAAATAAGTGTGAAAAAAACATATCTAAATTTGCACTTTAAAAAAATTCAAATTTGAATTTGGCGCCAAATTGGCAATATATTTTTAAGACTGATTTTCATCAATTATTGATAAATTGAATGTAAAAAAAGTTAAGATACCTTAAAAAATAAAAAATTTTTACGATTATTTTAGCTTTTTAAACTATTTTTAAATTTACAATTTCCCGCCAATTTTGGCATTTTGTTTCAAACTGCCTTTCGAAGGCTTTAATTACTTTTAAACCCATTTAAATTAAAAGGTAGTACAAAAAATAAAAAAATAAGTAAAAAACTGATGCTAAAATAAGCCACACTAATCACATGTGTCTCTTATCAACCTGAAAACCTACTATAACATAGACAAAGATCTATAAATGATATGTTATAGTATAGTACACAAAAACATAAGCTTATAAGCAAAAACCTTCCCAAATTTCTGAGAAGTCAGCAGACAAACTAAAAACAGTCTGGTTAAGCTACAATAATGCTTCTTTATGGTATCAAAAACAAAAAACAAGCACTAGCCTTGCCTTGCCTTGCCTTGCTTCAAGTCCTGCCTATTTTCGGCCAAACAATAAATCATGCCGGCTGAAACATACGGAGGGCCGTATATCGCCGTTTGAATTCAGTTTCGCTTTATTGTATGCCTAAAAGACAAACGTGTTCTTTATTTATATTGTTAGTGCACTTCAAATCTTTAATTAGCACGTTCATGTTTTTGTCATACTGTAGTTGTTTTTAAAATGAAAGAGATAGCAGAAAGGGCATTATTTTAAAAATGGTTCAATACGTTTCGTGGCGCTGAATCTTGTGTTTTGCACTTCATGGTAATTGCAACTAAGCAGCTATTTTTTGATTTGTAAAGAAAGTTCTTGCTATTTTAGGTTTGTTAAGAAAGTTACTTCCATTTTTTGTTTAGTAAAGAAAGTTCCTGCCATTTTTGATTGAGGGGTGTAAACGATTTATTGTCTATGGTCATTTACAAGTTTGGGCTCACAAGGAAAGTACGCGACCTATCCCGTTTGGATTGAATTCAAACTTTTTATACAGAAAGATCATGTAAGTATACGACCTTCAGCAAAGTACTAAATCGCGCTTTTCCGGGAAATCTCGAGAAAATCAGGAACAAAAAACTGCGTTTTGAATTTCCCGCCAAATTGGCATTGTGTTTCAAGCTTATAACTTTTCGTTTTTTAACATTTAGGAAATTTTTTTAAATATATTGGTAGGATGCCTTTAAATGAAACTACATTTTTAAATTTGTAACCGTAGCTTATTTGAAAAGTCGAAAAAAGTGCTTGAAACACAATGCCAACTTTGCCAAATTGGCGGAAATCCAAAATAATTCAAATTTAAAACTTGAAAACGCGAGCTACATGCTTTTATGGGAACTATTAAAAGTACAAGAAATTCATCTAAAAAATTTTAGCTGATTTTGAGCAGGCAGTTAGGGTACTTGTCAGTCGGATATTATTTAAACATAATTTGTTTGCATCAGTAGGCTTGTTTTTTATAATACACAGTTTTGCAATATTGTATGTGATCTTTTAAAGAATAAATTGAGTAACACGCGAAAGCAAACGACGACATAACGCCGCTTTTTTACAACTTTTAGGGTTTTCCCGCATTTTTTCTGTTTTCCTTGGTCAAGTGAGGCTTTTTTTGAATAGTGGCTGTTGGGTTTGAGAACCATGAAGGTCGTTTTTGTAGTTTTATAAATTTTTTTTAGTTTTTTGAATATTTAACATTTAGTTTATTTTTGTTTTGAGTTTTTTGGGTTCAATTTAAGATGCAAAGTATTCTAAAGAAACCAAAAGTATGGTTTGTATATATTATTGTTATATAATTTAATAAAAGGAGCTTTCATTGATTTTAAATACAATTTAGCTTTTATTAAATTTATTTTCTTATAAACATCTTTTAGTTTTGTGAATAAGACCCTCTTCCTAATTTTAACTCCTTCACTAAGAGGGGATATTTTCGAATTCGCAATCCGAATGCCTTTACCCAGTGTTTTGCCCGAACCAGTCCGGAGCGTTTTTCATCGGCCCGGTTCGGCGATTTTTGGGTCCGGTCGGCACCAAAATTCAATTTTTTTGGGTTCGGTCCGGCCTAAACCCAAAATTTTTGGGTCCGGTCCGGTCCGCAAAAAAAATTTTTTTTTTAAATTTTAAAAAGCAAGGAGCGCTAAAACTGCTTTTTTTAAGCTTAAAAACTCTTAAAAATATATTTTATTTGCAATTTTTAAGACAGTTCTTTTAAAATAAAAAAAGCGGAACGGTCCGGAGCTTTTTCTTCGGTCCGTCCGCAGGTTTTTGGGTCCGGTCCGCAAAGATTTTGGTTTCGGTCCGGACCCGTCCGCGGACCGGACCTCTCAGGCGGAGCCAACATAAAGTATAACGGAGGCGCTATTATAGAACGTTTAAGAATTAACAGGTGGCTTATAGGGCCGGGCGGGGACTTTTGGTCTGTGGGCGGGGGTCGAAAAAATCGGCACAGGTTTTTTTGCGAAAATTTTTTCAAAAATGCACAGGGAGGACCACGTTCAACCTTTTTGGAACATTTTTTCTGGGGGTATCTCCTCCCCCTGCTCGTGTTGCGAAAGTGATGATTTTACATTTTTATATTGTTTATCTTCTGTTTTTAAAAATAATTATTTTTTTAATTTTTTATTGTTTAGAATTGTATTTTAAATTATGACTTATAATAAATACTTGTGTATAACCATGTATTACTTATATATTACTGATATATTACTTATATATTACAAAGCGTACTTGCTTTTTACTGTTTGTGCTATCGATTGTTCATAATATAATGTTATTAATATAGTAATGTTACGATAGCCTTTATTAAATTACATTGTAAATCGCGAAATGTATAATCAAAATGCGCATCGATCGAGAGATGTATACGCTAACCAGCCGCCTCAAGGTGAAAATCGCCGAAATCCTTAGAGATGAAAGCTCAAGTGTTAAGGGAAGGTTGGAGCGTATTACGTTGTTTAGCTTACGGTATTTACTATAATTTCTAAGTACTATAATAAATAAATATTTAACTAAAGTAATGGTAATCTCGTTATTTAAAGTGATTTTAAATTACTCAGTAGGATTAGGTCAAGCGGGTCCGATCGTAACTTATCGGCGTCGTTGGGACAAACTATGTTAATAGAGTAAAAGGGAATTACCTTAACCGTCTACCAAAAATAGTCTATTACAGTAACTTTCTGCCCTAGCTGATGCATATAGGAACGGATGGATAAGGAGCGGGTCGGAAGTGACACAACACGGGTCCGGGGTCCGACCCTTCTTAAGAAAGTAAGGAACGTAGTATCAAAACCTCCAAAGACAAAAAAGTAAGCGAAATAATCGTAGAAAAAGTTGTTTATGTAAAGGTGACAAAAACGATGAGGTTCAACAACTCAGCCAACTTAATTTATATTTTCGGAATTGACGGAAAAAGAGTTATTGAATACGTATTTTGAAGACATGGGATTAAAATACGACCTTAAACTACGAGGAATAACCGTAAATGCCACAGCATGTGAAATTGGGACGAAGACATTTAAAAAAAGGTTGGTCCCAACTTTAACAGACCATAACTCGGTACACATGGCTCTTTAGCAGAAACAAAAAAATATGTTTGTGCTAGTTAAAACGAGATCTTCCCAATGGACTATGTCTCGTTTCGCAACTCTAACCTAAAATAAAAATCGCGGGTCCCCGTCCGGCGAAGATGTTGACGTTATCCTTCCTACTAAACAAAAGAAAGCAAGTTTAGTTTTTATTTATTATTATTTGTGTTTAGATTTCAAATTTTCTGGTGAAAGAAGATCAAATCGACAAGCAGCAAGAAAGAGATGTGTTTCTTGTCGAAACTATATTAACCATGAGGGCTTCATTAAGATGTTTAAACTCCCCATACCTCCACCGTATGGCTGACGTTACTTTTCCTAATACCAGGAAATATTCCGTACAACATTTCACGAGTTTGACCATACCTCAAATGTTGGGTGCATATTAAGAGCAGGTTAAGGAGATGATTGGTAACAAAAACTTCTGTATAACGTCGGATGGATGGTCTTCAAATCAAAAAGCGTTTCTAAGGTAACGAAATTGATACGACTCGTAAGTCATAAACCCTTCATGTGTAGTTGCAGGTATTCAAAAAGGAGAAAATTGGTACCGTAGTTGAAGTCATGAGACTGAAAAAGTTGGATTCCAAAACTTAGACACTACATGAGACAAGAGCTTATCAATGGTAAATTCAACCATTTGGTGCACGAGAGTTTGGATGGTGCCGTAAAATACTTTTTTCCAAAGGATGTGCTACTATTTGTGTTGTACTTCGAAAGTTTATCACTCTACCATGCGCAAGAGGAGTATAAAATTGTTTTTGACTGTGCACTGTTCTTTTCCCAGTTTAACAAGATCATTACGCTTCGAAGACAGCCGGTAGTCGGCATTAGATTTTATCCTGATGAGCGTCAGAACGTAGTGCTAGTTATGACAACCTATCTGCAAAACTATCATCTGCGATAAGATTTGAAAG